TTTGCCCAGTGGTAGTGATGGTTCGGATAAAGCAAACACAGGGGATAAAAAGGATATAAGGCAGATGAAAAGGGAAGAGAGCTCAGTCTCTTGTACAATTCTCGTTCAAGCGTCGGGTCCAGCTGGGATCCCGGCACAGACTGCGTGAGTTGGGGGGGCCTTTTTCCATCTTCAACCTCATTATGGGGTGGAGAAAGTGCAGTGAGAGAAAATGGCTTGCCACTGAAGCAATTAGGTGGGAATTAAATATTCACAAGGTCCAAATGATTGGGGCATTCAGACTGGAGATCAAAATCCAGCCTGCATGGGAAATGCAGAGAAAATTGCCATTTCCCGGGGTTTTGCATTGCTCGCAGCCGAGGGGCACTTTGTGCGGAACTGCCCGTAATAACTAAATGACACTTACTTTCCCCATTTGCTCCTGCCTCTCCTTTCCCCACCATTACTACATTGCTGGATTCGTAGGGCTGTGCCAGCTCATACCTGGAAGATCTGGCCCTTATTTTCATTTGTGTTCATTGCGAAGCTGTTTGTGGAAAGGCAGGTCCCGGCAGCAGGAGCCGCGGGGCCGCAGTGTTGTTACTGGAAACTGTGGAAACCCCCTCTCTGCTCCCAAATGGAAATGTCTTTCGGAAACAGATTTCACTCGAATTATATTGTTTTATTTGTAGCACAGTGTTTACAGTGCCTGCTCGCATTATCCCTCACTGATGTGTACTGATGATGCATAAGTCAGATTTCACAACGCTGAGAAAATTAACGCTTCAGAAGAATTTATCTCCGTGGTTATTGATGTTCTGTCAGTAGCAGCGTGCTAATATTGTCTCCAGAGAAACTAATGGCACTGACAAAAATCACTGAACTTCTGTTCTCATCTAAGTATCTAGATAAAAGATGGCATTTCTGCATGTGAGAAGCATTTTTGGCGATAGCAAACTATTCTCTGTTTTCCCCTTTGTGAGTTACAGGATATTTGTCACGTTTTTCTTTTTTCTGGCCAACTTTCTGAAGCACAGTTTGGCAGATGTTATTTACTCCTGCTTTGCTCTCTCATGTCTTTTTCCACGGAAGTATTAAAGCATTTAACTGTTATGTAGGCCACCGATTCCCATTACTTTAACTAGAGAGAACACCTCTGGGTACCTGGGAGGCCCCGGGTCTCCTGCCGGTCCCTGCAGCTCTGGTGACTGACACCATCACCCCCCGGCCCCACCTCGGCCCGAGGGTGCCAGAGCCAGGGGCTGCTCATCTGGGATGCGATTTGCAAATCCTCCCAAGCAAATCCTTTGGGAGAGACGAACCACAGTCAAAAGCTGGATGCAGCCTTTACCCAAAACTGGGGTTTGACGTGAGGTGAGACTTAATTTTATGTTAAATGTGATCATAAAGGCTTAGACTTCCAAGGCATCTGAAGAATAAAAAACCTAGTTCTTGTCAGATGCTCTAAGCTTCTTTGAACATGACATGCACAACTCCTGATTTTTAGGAACATCCAGACTGTGACCCGGAGTTTATAATCACAGGCTTTGGTGTGTTTGCTCCTGTCTTCTTCCATTGCTTGGTCAGGCTATAAGGTCGGGGTAAAGTCTCTTTGGAGTTTGTTCTCTCATCACCTTTCCCTATTAGCGCCGTGCGGAGACGAGCAGCTCCCTGTGAAGGTGGGGGTGAAGGGGTTTGCAGGCTCTGAGGGGGGAGCAGGGGATTCTCCACAGGGTGGAAATGACCCAGAGCTTCACCAAACAGACTCTGTGCCAGGTGGAGGAGGTTCTCTCTGCAGATGAGGAGCTGCTGGTGGTGACACCCCGGGGGTTGCCTGGCCATGGCCAAAGAAATCCTCTGTCCTCCTCAGCTTTGTTACTGAAAGGCTGGGGGGGGGGCGCAATTTTGGGTAAGAAGAGTAATTTTTTTTTCTGTGCACAGTGGTGACTTCTCAAGCATATTAATTAGTAGAAATGATGGAGACAGTCTTTTGAAAATAGGCCATTATTAACTGAAATGTCAACAGTAATAAACTTCCCAGAGGCATCCAGCAGCTGCTGGATTAGGGTCATAGTTTCCATCAGCTGTCCTGAGCTGGGGCTGATCAGGAGGCTGGTCCTCTGAGGAAGGGGATGTCTGTCCCTCCGTCCATCCATCCCTCTCTCTCTCCCTCCCTCTCCCGGTCTCCCTCCCTGGCGCAGTTTCTGGAGGGGCTGTTGGACCAGGGCCTCATCCTGGTCTTCATTTCTGCAGTGGCTCGAGTCGTGCCAAATGCTGCACTGGACAAATGCCATTCAGCTGCTCTTTGATCCCACTGGTAACCAGGTCTGCTAAATGAATATTCACCCTTACATACTCATAAGTTTGTGAATAAAGCCTGTTGGTGGGATGAAGTGCTAGAGGTTTCCTGTGCACAAAAAGCACCTGCATTTCTAGAGAGAAAAATGAGAGTCTAACATTTTAAAGCCATAAGGAATTCCAATATTTAATGTTTTGGACAGCTGATTTGAAAGTAAAAATGCAGGCAGGGCTTTACTCATTTTCTCATTAAGCCACCTGAAACAAATCACAGTGGCTGTGCAAGATGCTTTCACTGAAGGACAGGGACGTTTGCCAGTTCTAATCCAAACAGCGCGGGTTTGGGAACGCTGCCGCTCACGGACTTGGCCGAGCAGGAGGGAAGGCAGCGGAGCCAGCACCATCCCTGGATCCAGCAGAGCATCTCCCTGGGGATCAGAACCTCCCTCTGCACCGACACCAGCACCAGCCCGGCCCCCGCGCTTGGGCCCTGGCACGAGAGGTGGTGGGTTCAGGGGCACTCGGGAGCTTCCTCCTCCTGGCACCGGCACCAGGCGATGCTCTGAGCTTCACAGCCCCCGACCCGACCCTCCCCGTCCCTGCACCCCCCAGACGTGCAGACCCCAGAGCTACCCATGGTGGGAAACGTTCTCCCTCCATCTCATGGGCAAGTCACAAGACTTAATTAATGCTTCTGAAGTGCTCTGCAGCCCTTGGATGACAAGCAGGCTAAAATATTGTTAGTCCCCAGGGAGCGTCCCCCTTCAGGGAGGAACTTGGGTTTTTATTTAGCGAGCGGTGCTGTCTGGGGACTGTCCTGACAGTGATCATTTCTGAGGCGAAGCAGCAGCAGGTTCACAAGGCGCTGCTGAATTTTAAATAGACTCCAGTTTATCATTGAAACACAAACAGCCCCTGTTGCCCCACTGCAGCCAGCCTGGCCTGAGACCCTGCCTCCAGAAATGGCTCTGAGTTGTGCAGAAGAAGCACAGGCAGAAATCACAGCACAACATGAACAGGTTCAAGAGATCCCACCTTGATTTCCTCAGGCAAAAACGGATGGAGCCAGTTAATTCACCTTTTCTGTGGCAATGTCTTACCCTGCTCTGCACCTTTAAGTTGGGCAGCAATCTCCCCTTATCCCTTGGGGAGAGCCAGGGCACTGCTAGAAAACAATGTTAGGATAATGCAGATTATGTAAATGTACCCGTTTTTCTACCATTTCTTGTGCTGCCCGTGGGAGCAAGTATTTTCTGGTGTGTGAGCAGGCTGCAGAATTGAACCCTCTTCCTTTTTAAAAAATGCTTTACAAGAACAGAAATGTCTTCAGAGGTTCACTCGTCTGATCCCCGAACCAGTGACTGTGAACGCAGCACACGCCGCGCAGCAGCCAAATAACCCTCCAGGAATTCTTCCTATTAAAATAATTGCCAGGGCAGAGGAATACTGCAAACAGCTGTGGTTCATCCCGCAAACATATTCTCCCTCCTTTTGGAGCCTCCGCTTCCAACTTATGCCAGAGCCTGTCAGCTGCAGGAGCAGTGGAACATATTTCCTTTGCAGAAATGAAACGATTACTGTTGAATAAATATGTTGTGCATAGACCTGAACTATCCAGTGAGTATTGCATATGCAAAAAGGAAAAAAAGTGACAGTGTTTCACACTGAAATGAGCTGAAGCGACAGTTCATCTGCCTAACAGGATGGCAGCGGAGCTGCCTTGTGTCAGCAGCCTAGCAACACCGACTTTAATGAAAAAAAAAGCCCCTGAACTCAGTCCAGCTCTGGATGGCATCCTCTTGCCGTTGCAGCACCCGCGCTGCCGGTAACAGGCTGGGAATCGTCACGGGGACGTGCCAAGGGAGAGGTTCCCCCGCAGAGCGAGCATCCTCCTGCTGACACCCAGCCCTCCCCCTGCCCACAGCCCCTCAGCCCCCCGGCTGCGCTGTGGGTCAGGGTATCCCCCAGCTGTGCTGGGGACACACTCTGCTGGTGCTGGGACATGGCCAGTGCCTTCTCCAGCACCGTGGCAGGACCCGAGGCGATGGGTTTGGTGTTCAGAGCTGCTCCAGTCTGTCTGCTCCGTCTGCTGGCAAACCCGGCCATGGAGTTAGTCTGACTAATTTTTCATGAATATCAGTTGCCTTTTGCACTGTTTCTTTATTATTTTGACCATGGGCTTTGCAAAGGCGTAACCTAGTCTTGAGTGATTTACAGAGGGGCATCATTTCAGTCTTTTAAACCAGCTTTAGCGTGGGCTGAAGAAAAGCCTCATGTGGGAAGGACTGGAGCTCCCAGTGCCCTCACACCATACGTCTCCCCACAGCTGTGACCCTCTGTGTGACCCACAGCAAAGGGCCCAGCAGGGGAGGGTGGGAGACCATGGGGGGCTCGGGGTCCTGGGGCTGGGACCCCCGGGCGCTGCTGGGCTGGGTTTGCTGTTACACCGTCCCCTGGGGCAGGTGCCCGGCGCTGGGCAGGGTGATGCCAGAGGGGACAGGACAAAGCCCAGGCTGCAGCTGCAAAGGGACATCGGGGAAACACCTCGGAGGTCAACCTGAAGCCTGTTTGCCCTGGTTTCGTGGGCTGGGTGTTCATCTGACAAAGTCAAACCCTCCGACAGGCCCATTTATTTCTGTAAGTCACGTCTGGCTGGAGCAGATGAGCAATGGACACTGCCACCTCTGAACCTGAGGTATTGGCGAGCTGTCACCAGCCCTTACTGTCACCGCTGTATTTCTTCCCCGCGGGCGTGCGGGAAGGGGAGGGCTGTGCAGGAGCCGCCTGTCGCGCCGCTGAAATAGACTGCGCCATATTTGCAAAATATTGTTAATCAAGAGCCACAGTTCAAGGCATTTGACTGGCACATCCAGTTAAGTGGTAGCAAACACATGTTGTAAAACTACTGTGCTGAGGCCACCTTCCTAATGAATGCAAAGTGGGAGCAATCAATCAGAGCCTCGAGAGCAGTCAGCACTCAGCTCCCTGCATCTGCAAACGCAAATTGAATGAACAATAATGAGTGTTATCTAATTAGTCCACACAGCTGCAGTGTTACAGCCCCATATAGGACATACCTTGTTAAATTTCATGGTATGTATAATAGATTGTCTGAGTTAAAATGATTGAGATTCACCATGAGCATGTCGAGAACAACACCGATAGGTAGATTCTTAGCAATAAATGCATTATCCTCAGCAGATGGCCTCTGGATTAACTACTGCAAGGAGCTCTTTAACAGTTAGCTCGTTAAAGTGCAAACGAGCCAGTGCAGCACTGCTGCTCGGTGTGGGAGTGCCCTGGCCAGGATCGGGACCCCAGGCTGGGGGCAGAGACCCCAGGGTCAGTGGGGTGGCCCTCAGTGAACTCTCTCCAGGAGCTTTGTCACTTTTTCTGTCGGGTCTCAGGGGAGAATGGGGAAGAGCCATCTCAGGGACCTGCCCAAGCGTGTGCCTTCCATGGCCCATTCCTTTGGAGCTGGCAGTTTTAGACCAGGGACCTTCATCCTTCACAAGCCAGAGAGCTCCGCCCTTGGCAAAGAAGCCTCTGGAGAAACAACCACATCCCTCACCCCAGATCAGATGGGGCTCCTCTTGTCCCTGAGCACACTCCTCAGCAATAACAGCAGTCTCCTGGTGTGACCAAGCAGAAGATTTTCTTTTGCAGAGCCCAATAGTCTCTGTGTTCTGGAGCACTCGGCATGAAGGGATGCTGGGAAGCAGGTGATAAATGATTGAGGGCCAGCAGCTGAAAACAATCAAGCAGCCCTTGATTCTCTCAAGTGGTGATTGAACTGGACCATCAGCAGGGCTTAGGAGGATTTGGGCCACTTGTGACCCAGTCCTGACTGTGTTTGTAGTGACTCGTTGACTGGAAGCGGTTGGATCACCCCTCACCTTTAGGCTCCTGGTAAGTACCCCACGCAAAAGGGACCGTCCCAGCGGGCAGGTCAGTCTCCATCCACCGACTGTACTAAAACCTGAATATTCTGCCTGGGCTCTGGGGCTGGGCGAGCAGAAGATTTACCTCAGGGTAGTCGATGTCACCCAGTCTGCTGGCACCGGGTGGGAGCAGCATCATGTGCTCGCTCCAGCTGAAAATGAACCCCGTGCGTTCCTCTGGCTGTCACTTTACCTGCACGGAGACTAAAAACCCATTTTCTCGTAGTTCTTAACTGCCGTTAAGAACCCAAGCAGTTCTTAACGATGAGAGGGAGAACACCTGGGGCCAAATTTATCCCTGAGACAGTTTCATTGAAATCCGTCAGGAATTTGGCCAAAGGAGTATTTCAGGCAATTCTTGCATCTTTGTCACCTTCGTGTTCAGCAATATCTGCTCTTCCCACGGAATCTGTGGTGACACTGTAGGGGATGGTGTTTAAATATTGATGTTTTAGCAGCTTATGTTTTTAATACGTTTTAAATTATGCACATTTTTATTGGACTCATAGGTTCATCATCAAATTAGTCTCTCCCAGCTGCGCGGTAGGGAGTTTAGTAGCTCCGTATTGATTTCTGCCGCAGTCTTTCAATTCCTGTGACTGGATGCATCTTCGTGCCTTGGCAAGGTAAACAGATCCACAGGCCTTTATTTGAGCGCCGCTGGTTAGTAGCCATAAATGTGTAATGAACAACTCACTATCCTTGGAATTAGATCTTCTTAACAATCATTAGTTTCATCCCTTGCCGTTTTAATAAACCTCTTGGTAGCAGGCCAGAGCCAATTATACTCGTGCTTGGAAAGTTATAAAACAAGGAGAAAAAGTGTGTTGCCACAAATAAGTGGAAATTGTAACTGGCCTAAGACTGCGACATGTCCGGGACTCATCTGTGGTCTGTCTGAGGTTAAGGCTATTAAGGGAATCCATATTTATTTTGCATGTTCATGGGTTCTTCCACAGATGGCAAGGTGACACGGGTGTGCGTGTCCTGCCCAGCAGCGGTGGCCAGACACTGGGGCTCCCTCCCCAGGAGAGTTTACTCTCTAAAAACATGGAAAGTGGTGTCACCCCTTAGCCAAAGATAGACACTTCTATGGAACTGGGTTTTTTTCCTTAGATGTGGTGAGTGAATCGTTCAGCGGGATTTTTGCAGTGGGAAGAGATGATACGTTTGCACCAAGTATGATTATTGCGTGGGCTCTTCTTACAAGAAAATCATTAATAAAAGATCCATTCGTTCTTCTCCAGGCAGTTCTTATACCATCGTGCACAAGATGTATTTTTCGAGTGAGGTGATAAGTTTCTAGGATGCAACATCAGTTTTACAGTAGAGCCGCTGGCATTAGAGAGAGGAGAATGGAAACATAAACCGTAAAAATAACAGATGGAAGGCAGATACAGTAAAATGGAAGCACAGGCAAATTATAAAACCATTCAAACTGTTCATGCAGATAAAACAAGAAAACAAAAATGCATCTGAAATTGCAAGGACAGGGTGTCTGTTGGGGAAAATGTATGATTTTGTTGTTTGCAGTGGAGGCTGCCAAGATCAAAAGACCTGAAGGAGAAGCAGTGATTTCTGCTGTGGGGGGAACTTTTGCTGTGACACCATCAGGTGTTGGTGAGGATCATTTCTGGTGAGGAGTCTTAAAGATAGTGGGATTTTTTCTCAACCCACACTGCAAATGTTACTGTTCAGCTTGTGCCAGTGCAATTATTTTATTGCAATAATTAAATATAATCTAAATAAGTCAAGAAACATGAAGGGAAAAAGGGCCCTCAAAAAACCTAAAGGGTAGCTGAATATGGAAGTGGAAACACAAAGTGATGCTGGGACCTTCTGGAGCATTGCTGGGTGAGCACCACGGAGCGTCTGGTAATTTAAAAGACCCAAACAAAACACCAGGTACCTTGGAGCATCCAAAATCATCTCGCCAGTAGCCTGTCTCCAGCAGGAACTGGACAAATACCAAGTGATCTGTGCCTACAAATAAGCCTCCCAGTTTCTAGTAATTAGCAGATTAGAGACTTCCTGAGCCAGAAGTTGCATTGGGACCAAGGGGCTTAATAGCCACAGATAGGTTTCTCCTCTGAATTAATTGAATCTCTTTTTGAACCCATTTATCCTTCTGGCCGTCGTGCATCTCACAGTTTAATTACACAGTGCCTGATGATTTAACTGGGTGCCTCCTCTCCTATGTACAGAGCATAAGGAACAGCCATTCATTGTCTCACCTTCTTCACACCCTTTATCCCAAGTCTCACTGCAGGTTTCTACAACATCCCATGCTTAATGTCTCCCTTGCTAAAGTCACTGGACTGGGAGTCTGTTTTCTTTTTCTAATGATTATATCAGTGCGTAAAGGCGGGGTAATGACATCTGAGGATGTTCTCAAATCTCTGTACAGAAGGTAAACGAAGACCCTCAGGTGAATTTCTATTTTGAAGTCTTGGGATTTTTAAGCTAATCTCACATTTGTGGCAGAGAGGAGGAACTAGTTCACCAAAATGTTGTGTATTTAGTAGAAGGTGGTGCTAATGAAGGTAAAGCAGAATGTTGTTCTGTGGAGCTTTGGTTTCCTGGTGTTTCAGCAGCCTGGGGTGCTGCTACAGGAGACCCCCCCCGTCCGGTGGGAGGGGTGTTGGGAACTACTCCATAGATCTCAGATTATCTGTGTTCATGAAGTATGTGCAGTAGTTTGTGAGAGGCCGTGGGAGCCGGGGCTCAGGAAAGGGGGGGCTCTGTCTCAGGGACTGAAGCCACTTGCTCGTTGCTGCAAGAAGCCCCTCGGGCTCAGCTCCAGCCCTTTGCAGGAGCCCAACCTGTGTCACGGGAGTTAATCATCCCTAATTGTACTCTCCCAGGCAGGTCTGACCTCAGTAGTGGTTCACCAGGGTCTTCAACAGTGTGCAGCTGAGAGGAAGCACACCAGTAAAACCCAGCAGCTTCCAGTGACACCACGTTACAAACAATACTTGAACCACGGAGGAGCTGGGGATGAGAAACCACAGGGCAGGGGCTGATCCCCGTCCTTCCCACCCTGTGCAAAAGGTGGCAAATGCTTTGAAACGGAGCAGAGAGACGCTGTGCTGGGGGAGAGAGGGGGAAGAAGCAAACAGCACACACTTTGGCAATGTGATTTATTTTTAGGTACCCTTGCGCTGTATAATTGACTCTTTGTTCTGAAAGGTTTGCATTATTACTCTAAATTTCATGATTCTTGCCGATGTAGAGCTCACTTCAGAGCCCCAGCATTTGGAATGTTGCTCTGAAACATCTGGATCATCACAGAGGAGCTGGGTGTTACAGCCATCACCTCTCCTCTGCAGAGGGTGCAATTAGAGATACAGCTTCAAAGGAAAACATGGGGAAATATGACAACTGAGGGGGGTAAAAGGGAGAAGAAAAAAATATTGCTTATAAGCTGATTCTGTGTAGATAAGAAAAGAAAGGTTCATGGCTGGTTCATGGGGATGAAACCCGGAGTGTACAGAAGGGTCTGTCTGGGGTGTTTTTAATATATAGTACCCACCACGGCTCGAGCCCAGCTCTGAGGCTCTGCTGAGCTCTCACACCACTGAGCTGGGACTGAGGAGGGGGAGACGTGTGAATTTGGGGGGTTCAGGATTCTGTTTGGGGTCACCTGGGGGTGGCAGTGACATGTCCTCATCCTCTTCTTGCTTTGGTTGGGGATGGAAATATTTTGTTTGTTTTTTTCAGAGGAAGAGCCAAGGACTAAATCTTTCAAGGTGCTCATGATCTCTCATTGATTTTATGCAATGATATTCTTATTCATAACAGCATCAGGTCAGAATTAGGCTTTTTCCAACAGCATTTATGATGATGCTGGCAATTTTATGAGTCTTCCAGAGC